TTAAAAATAATATCATTTCTTTCAAACACCATTCCTCTTAATACTGAGTAGATATTTATAGCTGCTTGGTGCCACATGGCAAGATATATTATTTTAAACTTTCTTTTCAATATTAGTCATATGGTTATTGTAGGCAAGCTAGCATTTAACTTATTGTACCAACATATGAAAGATGTTGTTTCTTTCACGATATATTGTATACCTTATTATATACAAATAAAATAAAGAAATAATGTTTACCTACTTTAAAAAATATATATATATATATATAATTGTTATATCTTTACATAAATAGTATCAATTCAGTACTTTAAGATTTCTTATTTTAACAATTAACAGAAAAAGGAAATGATAATTAGAATTAATTAAGATAAAGTACAGTCCAGTCTGTATATTTAAATACAATATTGTTTTTTATTGTGTAACAAATTGTGTAGTTTAATTAAAATTAGATCAGAAATCATATATATTAAAAGTTTTATTTAATTTAAATTATTATTTATTAAATTATAAGAAAAATTCAATTTTGATTTTTTTTTAACCAGACTATAAATATATTATATATTTTTAATTTGTTAAAACAATATTAAATTATTAACAATTTGTTAGAATTATAATATATAATCTTAATTAAGGCTCTTAATAATATTACTTTAATATCAATTAGACACTTGAATTTATTATAAATTTATATAAGTAGATCATAATTTATATATTAATTTTATTATAGATTAGTATTATTTTGATATTAGTTTAATACTTTTTGAAATCTTAAATTTTTTTTCATGATTAAACAAGTATGTACTGTTTATTAAATTTTTACAAAAGACAAATATTGTATAATATATAATATTGTATAAATTATTCTATTACCTTGAATATTTGTTTTTGACTAATGTTTTTATAAGTGTAACTTTGGAGACAAAAAAGATTGCTCTTTTTAAAATTTATCTGCTTATTGAGTTTAGTTCAAAAGATTATTATCTGCAATTCATCACTACAGTTTTTTGAGACCCTAATTTTAATTTAATATAAATTATTAATACAATATATTATATATTTTTTATTTGTTAAAATTGTAATTAGCAAATCATTTTAATTTAAAATAAAACAATATTAAATTAACAATTTATTTGTAAATTTATAATACAATAGTTAGTACTTTACAGATCAGATTACAAAATACTAGTTTAATTTCAAATGAAGGCAGTTAGATCATTTCAAAAATAGTATTTGATGCCATAATCTATTAAGCATTGTTTTTTATAAGAAGTCATTTCATTGTCAATGAGAAAAATCAAACAAAATGGAACAATTATAGATAGAATAATAGATGATTTGTTGGCAGTTCAAGAATTTTATAATTATTTTTAATGAAATTGAAAAATCATGAGCTGTACATATGCTTAAACATATACTTTAAAATAGGTTTAACTAATTAATCATTTTATCCTGTTGAAAGCATTTTTGTTTCAATTTGACAAAGGCTACTTTAATTGTATAAAATGGTTTCATTTGATGAAACAATTCATGGTTATATTATTATGGAATTTTTTTATTTAACCTGAATAATATTTTATTGTCTCAATAATTTAAAATCATGAAATTTCTTCAAAACTTAAGGTTGATTTAAATTTAATAAATATGTAATAAAAGAATATTTTTCATTCGATTTTATAAAGTGAACTAGTAAAACTTATTTTGTAGCGAAAAATTCATTTTTATACTATTCAATAATGAAATTAAGGATTCTCGAATATTATATTATCTGCGACGTATCAAAAATTATATTGTTATAGTTACGAAATGATTAATAATGCAACATATTATAAAAATAAATAAATTTATTTATTTATTTCTAATCTCATTTTTTTTAATAAAAGAGAATTATTTAAAATTTTGTTTTTTTTCACAGTAACATTAAGTTTCAAAAATTTCATCTATAATTTAATCAAAGTAACAATATTATTTCCATCACATATTTTAAGTTTTATTTATTCAATATTAGTAGATATTGAGCGTTACATACAATCAAGATAAGAATTATAAGACTCTTTAATTGTTGAGGTGGTTTTTATCTGGTCAACATAAAATACTTGATAACTCTTGACTGCCTTTTAAAAACTCTAAAACGTGGTAAGTTTTTATTTAGGGTTTAAAGGTTATTTAAAACCTTATTAAAAAAATAGCGATTTCTTTTGTTAATTATTCTCAATACTCTATTTATACCAGTTTACCCCTTTTTCGTCCCACACTACTTCCACCTCTTTCTCATTCCTGGCGCCATGACCATGGAATACAATGTCGCGTCGTGTATTCGCGCCTCACCTCACCCCACAACAATATACTGTATATAACAATTTAACCTCAATATATTTTCTTAAATACTTTTAATGTTACTTGAATTTGATAATAACATATCTGACCCAGATCAGACTAATCATAAGGTATATACTGTATGTCTATATACAGTATGTATATAATTAACTATAAAATATACTCTACTAAATTAACAATATCTTCACTTTATATAACTGGTAGTATGAAAAATGTCTCGTTTTTCATAACAGTATTTCTAGTATCGATCCTTCTAAAAAATTATACCTCTATTACTTTCCTATAACTTATTAATATTTTATAGTCATACTGATATTCTTGCATAGTGCCTCAGCTAGTGCTTTTCCTAAATTATTATTTCCCAAGTCCAAGTTTTTCAGTGTGGTATTCTTGCATAGTGCCTCGGCTAGTGCTTTTCCTCCCGATTCTCCTATTCTATTAGATCTCAAATCTAAGTTTGTCAGGGTGGTATTCTTGCACAGTGCCTCGGCTAGTGCATTTCCTCCCGATTCTCCTAATCCATTCCAACTAATATCTAAATTGGTCAGGGTGGTATTCTTGCATAGTGCCTTGGCTAGTGCTTTTCCTCCCGATTCTCCTAAATTATTATATTTCAAGTCTAAGTTTTTCAGGGTGATATTCTTGCATAGTGCCTCGGCTAGTGCTTTTCCTCCCGATTCTCCTAAATTATTATTCTGTAAATTTAAATTAGTCAGGGTGGTATTCTTGCACAGTGCCTCGGCTAGTGCTTTTCTTCCCGATTCTCCTAAATTATTATTTTCTAAGTCCAAGTTTTTCAGGGTGGTATTCTTGCATAGTGCCTCGGCTAGTGCTTTGATGCCCGATTCTCCTAAATTATTACTCTGTAAATTTAAATTAGTCAGGGTGGTATTCTTGCATAGTGCCTCGGCTAGTGCTTTGATGCCCGATTCTCCTAAATTATTCTCACTGATATTCAAATTAGTTAGGGTGGTGTTATTGCATAGAGCGTATCTTATTGCTTTTCCTGCTACATAACCTAATTTGCTTCTTTTCACATTTAACCCCGTCAGGGTGGTATTCCTGCATAAAGCTAAGGCCAATCCTTTGAAGGCATTATCATGTAGACCTTCAATGCTCATATTTAAATCGGTTATATTTACATTATAAAAATCTCCGCACAGATAGTCCGTTGGCACTTCTGTACCGTGGATTAGCTTAATATTACTTGAATTTGGTAAATATGATGCTGGTTTATTAGCTAATTTAAATATTAAATAATTATTTTTAAGCGTATTATTTAATTTAAATTAATTAGGTAATAAACTAACATTGATACTTTACCTTCATGTATGATAGTTTCGTTACAATCGGTTAATTTTCTCCGTTTTATTGGGCCTATTATAGATAATATATATAAGTTAATACTAAAAAATTATTTAACAAAAATTTAGAACTTACCAGTTTTTTCGTTTAGCAAAAAATTTATAGAGTGCTTTAAAGAGGTTACCGAATTTTTACTATGGTATAAACTATCGGTGTTTCTGACAAACTCGATACTAAACAATGTATTAGATTAGATAATTTATATTATTTTGATGGTTAATGTAAAATGTTTACTTACGAATCCTTCATAATGTCGAGAGAACATTTAGAATAAGATCCTATAAAAGAAAAAGAGATATATTAAGTTAAATTAAGATTTGATTTTTTTTCTTTATAGAAAATTCATGATTACCTAATAACGATTCTGCACTTGAATTATCTTTTATAATATTTATAATGTGATCCAATGATTGACTAAAAGGTGTATAGGAAGTAGTCGTTATTTCTAGCTCATTTGCAAACTTCCTGGGTTTTATTTCTTGTAATTTTTTTTCTGCATCATAAAATACACCACTAAATTCCCATTCCGGTGAATTTATTACTTCGTATATTTCGTTAATTGATGGTCTCTGTAAGGGATCTGGATGCCAGCACTTTTCCATTAATCTAGTCCATAATTCCGGCGTATCTTCAGTAATTTCAGGACGTAGTCCGCAACATATATCGAGAACAAGATTAGCATTATGCTCTCGATAATAAAAGGGACACTTCCCTGTTGTGAGTTCCCACATAATCATGCCTAAACTATAGATATCAGAACTAAAGGAATATGATTTTCCGTTAAATATCTCAGGTGCGACATATGATATGATTCCATATGTACCTGTTCCTGGATCTTTATCCGCAGGTCGACTAAGTCCCAAATCAGCAATTAACGAATAACTCTCTTGATACACAAATCCATTTCTATCATATTTGTCATTATTTTTTTGAAGTACTAATATATTTCCACTATGTAAATCACGATGTATGATATTTTTCTGATGAATCCACTTAATGCCCATAACGAGACTCTTCAGGAAATTTACTTTTGACCCTTTACTTTTTCCCCAGTCCATCCATTTAACATCATCAAAATGCTTAAATAAATACTCGCGCAAACTTCCATGTTCAATATATGGCATAACGAATATATAATTTTTTGTATTTGGATCTTGTGATACTCCATAAGTTTGAATAATATAACGGTTAGAGTTAGGTTGAGTTAGAGCAATATTATTTAACTGCAGAGGCAAATAAATAAAATATTTATAATTATTATAGGTACTATATTATGTAAAAAAAAACAAAAAAAACTTCTACTTTACCTCCTTTACAAATGCTGAATTAATATTTTGAGAGTCCTTAAGAACTTTTAATACAATTTTTTCTGAACCTGCTCGATTGAATCCTGTTCCATAATAACTCTTGATTCTTCCTTTTACCCATAAAGCCGTAAATATTATACTAAATCCACCTTCCGTAACTCGCTGGATATCTGTAAAATCTTCAAAAGGAATCCACTCTAACCTATAATTAGGGTTATTTCCGTGCGTTGATTTAATCAAATTATCAACATCTGGATTTCCGCTATTAATGGATTGAAGACGTGCGGAATAACAACTAGTGCATATATCTCCATTTCCATATTTAAGGCGTCTTTTTTTATTACATTCAGAACATTTTTCAGGCATGTTTTGTTGATATTATGTTATAAAAATCTAGTATTTATAAGAAAAGAAAAATCAATTGTTTAGTAGTTTAAATATTTATCTAACGGCAAGGCATTTTTCTATAAGAAATTCGGTATAGAACATCATATTACACTATACTAGCTTAAAGTACGTCGTTACTTCCGTTTTGGGTTGTTAGTCGGTTCACGTAATTGGTCTAATAATCATTTCGTGTTAATTACGTACGTAATAACTATTTGTCATTTCAGCGATTTAAATTAATAATGTTTCACGAAATACTATATTTTTGTATAGGTTCCTTTTTTTTCCTTTACATTACTATGAAAGGAAGTCTTCTGTAAGGGATTTGACGAAAAGTTCATCCTTGCTCACCGTAAGGAAAAAGAAGGGGGTATGCTAAGGGATCGTAACATTTGGTGAACTATGAGATTCGAACTAATTTATTCATTTTCGTGTGTAGAATAATGTTCCACCTTTGAGTGATTTCAGAGACTGTATCTTCATTAATCCAGATTGCGGCAACTTGTGGAGCAGTCGGAGCATTATGAGTTCTTTGATCTAATCCGTGAACGTTAGTGTGGATTATGAGTCATAGATTAGCAATATTTTTCTTAGGCAGCTCTGAGATATAAAGAAAATGAGAAACATAAGGATTTAACCCGTTAAGCATGGTTTTCAATTCATGAACAATAGTATGGTTAAGCTGGGAATTTGGAATAGCATTCATTCAATAATGTAATTTATGTTTAGTGTCCCAAATGTACATCTGGAGGTAGTGGGGTTCTAAGTCAAGGTTTGGAAGCAATAATCTGATACGGTGATAGAAAGAACCTTAAACACGAAATGTGTACACTCCAGCCCCGGCATTAGCCAATTCATGATCAAAATGTATGCCAACGGAAGCAAACGCAAATGCAGAATTATAAATGCGAATATTATCATGAAAAAGTTTTGAAATATCGTCCTGTCTGTAGAAGAGCCATTAAAGTGAGAAAGGGATATGTCGTTCTGCTAAAACTACCTTACCGTTTCTGCAACACATTCCTGGGTTCTTATTAAGGAACTTGAGCATATTACAGTAACTACAATGAGAATAATTGTTAGAGTGGATCTTATGGGGAATAGAATGGTTATCATTATTCGTATTTTCAGAGAAATTGCGGGCTAAATTAAGAAATCGGGGTTTAAATCGACATTGGCCCTTTTATGCCTACTATGACGTTGTTCTTCAGTTTCTTCCGCACGATGGCGTCGTTGAGCATTAACGTTTTGTCTCATTCGTCTCTGATGCTTGTGAGCCACATCTCATTCTATGTTCTTCGTTCGTAGGACTGTGATGGGTAAGATGCATAATGATAGAGTAGAAGATGTGGTTAGTATGTGAAAAGGGTATAAGAATAGTTTGATTATAATAGAAGGATAGTTACGCGAATAAACGACTTATTGATAGGGATACTGAAAATTTTAATTTTATGCAGGACTTTGATCGGTGAGATAAATATTCTTGGTTAAACACCCTTTATTGATCGGTAAGATAAATACTCATAATTAACGCATATATTTATTGATCGATAAGATAAATAGTCATAATTAACGCATGTTTAAATTTATTAATTATTTAGTACTAATTAAAATGTTTAATATCAATCTTATTTAGAGTTCGATTCTGGTTTAGGGCTGACCTTGCGATCAGAAAAACGATCCAGTAGCTCAGACAGAACTTTTACATAGTGGTTATAATATGTACGTCATTTAAAATCGGTTTAGTAGCCCATATGGAAAGGCACGTGTATGTGTAGTTACGATCTTTAATAACCGGACCAGTAGAATATAATACATCTCATAGTACTAATTGAAATTATTAAATCGACAATAAGTCGATTTTTTTTAGTTTAAGGTGGCCTCGTGATCAGAAATATGATCTAATAGTAGCTCGGACAGAATTTTTGCTCATGTGCATCATCTAAAATTGATTTAATTAATATTGGTAGCCACGTATGGAAAGACACGTGTATAAGCGTAATTACGATCTTATAATAAGCAGAGCCAGTTTAGAACTGATAGAATATAATACGTAATAGACATTTTATTTTATTTTTTTATATATTAATTTTAATTGTTCATATCGTTTACATTAAGGTGTCTAGATTTTGGCCTTTTTTTACCATTAAATCGCTGAAATTAGTTTGACCAATAAATTCTATCAACCCGTTGCGAAGAATGTTCAAATCCGATAAGCTAGTTTACAATTAAGATTTGAAATAGATAGCTATTGTACACAAAAGTTTAATACGTTGTCTTATGCTGCAAAACTCGATAAGCCATAAAAATCGAATCAAACTGTTGTTTGTATAGCAAACTTTAAGTTGTTATTTTAGGACGCAGAGAAAATGTTCCCTATGCAGCATCCTTACCGCAGGTGTGCTTATAATAAAATTTCCGGATTACAGTATAAGAACCTTTACGTTAACATAAAGATGCATGCTACTGCCAGCATTTCTTTAATTACCGTAAACCACTGCATACAATACCCCCCTTAAATAGTACCATTCCTGATTTTTTTAATAGTACTTTTCTTTTTTCCCCAAGTAATTTTTCTGTGGAATGATTAATACCCGGGGTATTGTATGCAGTGGCTTACGGTACTTTAACGAAGAACAATTTACAACCAAATTATCTTAACGTAGTTATGATATTTTTTAAGTGATAATCAATAAAATGCGATCGATAAAGAATAACCGGTTCTATTGAATAATCTTCCGTGTTATATCAAATGAAATATTATTAAAACTTCAAATTAGACCATCGAATAACACTCTTGGCATGTGTACATATTATTTTTAATTTAAGATCCACTGAACTCTTATCTGTAAGAATATTGAAACTGTAAATACAGTATACTCGATTCAATTTATTTAATATCATATAATAAACCTACATTCATCTAAAATAACATATATTGGATGATAATAAAAAATTTTTGCCTTAATAATCTAAAGAATAAATGGTTTGAAATAAATACCTTTTCCAGCAAGAACATCGATTTATTCCTCCTTTGTTCCATCACCTTCGCGATTAACAAGATTTTGTAATTGACTAACATTTACAATCTGTAAATATTGGGAAAAAATTCTTAAAATTATACTACAGTAGCCAGCCATATTATTGTTAATTTGATTATAAAAAAATAAACTATTTGTATATGTTGTATGGTGCGAGCACTTAAAGACATTCAAACTGCTAAGAATCTTCCAAATTGTAAAAAAAAGTCTATAACTTAATAATTTTAAATAAGAATTATAAAACTACGGATTCTTTTTTAAGAATTTATGCCTTTTTACAATTCTTGGAAAAATATAACATATTTTTTGAATTGTTGCCACACACGAGCCACGATCGACAAGTTAGATAATGCATCGATCATATGAATATGAAAATTTCAATATTTATTACTACATACGTACTATCTCTTTATCTTTTAATCATGTAATAGTTCAAGTCCTTCTAACCCTTTGTAACAATAGCCATTGCAGTAAAAAATGACTACATGTTACAACTTTAATATGTACAAGGATTTAAAAGAATATACAGTAATTTTATTAAGAGACAAGTGAAAATTATAATGAGAGCATTAAAGATATAAATAGATAAAAAAGAAGTTTGATCATGCTATTGTAACTTAATCTAATATAACAAGATTAAATATACAATATTTATTTAAAATGTTGTTTTAAAGAAGATTATATAAATTTTTCAAAAACACTTTCAAGAATTTGACTATGAAATTAATACTTTTTTAATATAAATATAACGGTATTTAGTATTTTCTAAAAGTTCAAGTTTATATGCACTTATATAATAAGCAAAATAGCAAACAAAATAATGAATTTTCATTAGATTGATAAAGTTTAATATACAGTATGAGTCATATATTTTTGGAATTTTTTTAACTTTGTATTTTATCTTAATATTAAATAAAAAAAT